TTTTTGAAACAGGGTCTCACTCTGTCACCCAGGTTGGAGTGCAGTGGTGCAATCTTGGCTCACTGCAGCCTCTATCTCCCAGGCTCAAGCGATCCTTCTATCTCAGCCTCCTGAGTAGCTGGGACCACAGGTGTGTGCCACCACACACAGCTAATGTTTTAAAATTTTTTGGTAAAGACTGAGTTCTGCCATGTTGCATAGGCTGGTCTCCAACTCCTGAGCTCAGGCGATCCACCTGCCTCGGCCTCCCAAAGTGCTGGGATATAGGCATGAGCCACTGTGCCCAGCCCTGACTAATTTTTAATTTTTGTAGTGACAAGGTCTTGCTATGTTGAACAGGCTGGTCTTGAACTCCTGGGCTCAAACTCCTCCCACCTTGGCCTCCCAAAATGCTGGGATTACAGGCGTGAGCTACCATGCCCAGCCTGGACTTTAACATAATAGCAGGTTATCATTATAAAGAGAAATGAACAAGCTGAACTTGGGCCTCCATTTCTAGTTTTATAAAAGGAAAACAAGGTAACATTTCAGTCCTATCCTAGATTTTCCCCTCAAATCTTGCATACTCATCCTAACCCTGGGTCTTGGCACTTTAGGTTGTTTTCAGTTTAACTGATGGGTGAAACACGTTCTGTTAAATGAATTCTCACCATGCTGATCCTGTTCAGTGGTCCCTACCTGGCTCCAACACTCATGGTTTTGGATGAAAGCACTTGCTGCAATGATTCCTACTGCCAACAGCATGAAGTCTTCCTTCACTGAAATAAACTTTTCCCTGAATGATGAAAACCACATTAATTTTAGAGCTAGAACGGAATTTGGTCTTCCAAATCATAGATAGGGTCATGGAACTTCAACTATGAATTATTTGTGTTGATCATCTTGGATTTTTTAGACATGGAAGGAAATGGTCAAGTAATAGCTCATTGACCTGCTCTCCCATTCTCTCCCAATTTAACTGGGATTAACATGAGCCTCATGTCTGAATGGTTTATAGGCCTTTTGTAGTTCTGTCTGTCTCTTTAGCAATTGTAACTCAGGCTTTTAACCAGTCTGGCTTTACAGTAATCAAACACTTTTACCCAAGTTGCAATCCTGTGACTTTTTTTTCTAAGTGACTGACCAAAGCAGTCCAGTAACCTTGAGTTATATGCAACTATAAGGGAAGAACTAGGAAAGAAAGTATGTTAATTACTTGAAGTAATTTAATAAAAGTAAAAGCCTTTAGGGTTTTCCTTATCGGACTCAGTCAGCTGCATCCAAGCAACATATTGGGAGCTAATGAGAACCAGGTAACCTCAGTAGGTTATCTGGGGACTAGATTCCTTGCTAGGTTAATTCCATTCCCCAAGTTCTTGTGGTCTGCCTCCCACTCTGTTACTGGAAGGAGCCTACTCTATAGGAGCTGTCTTACCCTTGCAGCTGACTGGGAGTGGAGTTCTCAATTGAAGCCCTCAACAGGCTCTCATATATGGGTTCATGCAGAAGATAGACCAGGTCAAGCAGTGTCAAGCAAGTTGCATGCAGCCTCATGGCTGGAACCACACAGCCATTGTATCCTAGATGGAGTATGGGAATGATAGGAAGAATTTATGATCATATCTTCTGTGATCGTAACCACAGTCGTGACAAAGCTGTTGGGGTGCTAATGTACTTCCTGGTTGCTATATTCTACTCTAAGAGACCTGTTTAGCTGGAGATCAATTTTAAAGGACAAAGGTGAGGTAAAGAAACCTCCATCTGTAGTATACATACAATTAGCATGTAGTTGTCCCTCTCTTATCTTATGCCTGTCTACAAAATCAACTCTTTGATCCTGCAATAAGAGTGACTAGTGAGTCCAAACAGAAACCAGTCGCTAAGACCTCTGAGCTGCTTTCCCTGACAAGTGCCAGAGGAAACACCTTTTTCAGTCACCCAGAGACACCATCAAGCTTCCTACTATTCCTCATTGGCAGGTTTTGCCCACTGCTCCCAAAGCTCTGTGCAAATTTTTTTTTTTGAGATGGAGGCCACTCTGTCACTCGGGCTGGAGTGCAGTGGTACAATCTCAGTTCACTGCAACCTCCTCCTCCCAGGGCCTCCCAAGTAGCTGGTATTACAGGCGCCCACCACCACTCCCATCTAATTTCTTTTTGTTTGTTTGTTTTTTGAGATGGAGTCTTGCTCTGTCACCCAGGCTAGAGTGCAGTGGTGTGATCTCAGCTCACTGCAACCTCTGCCTC